GTGCAGTCTTGCAGGCTCCTTCTGCTGATCAGCAGCTGCCAGCAGTTTGGTAGATCGAATCTCACCAGGCTCAAGGTTGATTCAGCCTTCTATCCATTTGAGGTGGGTAAAATGAGGACCCAGATTGTTAGGGGCAATATGCTGACTCTGTAAACCGCTTAGAGAGGGCTGTAAAGCAATATGAAGTGGTATATAAGTCTAAGTGCTATTGCTATTGTGGTCGTAAGATGAGGACTACCTGTGCAGATCAATCTGTATAACTAAGACTAACAAAGAAACTATTATAGTTATGCTGGAATTGAGTATGGCTTTTCCACAACTGTCTCACTGAAATGAAATTATATGCAACCCTTCTATATTATAGTAAAATTCTAGCAATATATTCATATAAGCATTACTACTTCAAGAAATAGGTCACAGGATTTCCACAACATTTAAAGAACTTGGTTTCTCCTTATATAAGCCAAAAAACGTATGATGGCATAAATCATAATTAGACATAACTCTTTCAACTTAAAATGTCTTTACTGATTGTAAAATATAAAAAGGCAAAACTAAACATTTAAAAATACAACAAAGAATAATTCAATTTTCACTGTAGGAAGGACTCACCCTCCAGTAATTACAATAAAAATAACAAATTATCTGAAAACTGTTTCCTCTAAATCTCTTCCATAGTAAAATTGTTCTCCATTAAAAACAAGAAGGGTGCAGGTTTATCTTAAAACTGTTTACTTAGTATTATTTGCTAACTAGAAACACATTGCCAATTCTGGTTTTCTATTTATAGATTTATAGGAAGGAGTTTAAATTTAGGCACATGTAAAAGAGATAGCGGGTTAAGCTTGGGTGGAGTTCACTGTGCAGCCCTGGAACTATATCCCATTTCTTTACTGGAGACAGAAAAGGATGTTTTAAAACATCCATGCCAAAATTCTAATAAAATTCTACAAACTGCATTTTCTTCCAGAAAAAAACAACTATGTGGCAAAGCAATTCAACTATCAGGCTACAAAAAAAAATACAAATGAATAGTTATTCAAAATTTGTCATGGGTAGTTTAACCTATATTTCTTAATTTTACACAATTGCAAAGATGTAATTTACATTGAGAAACAGGTGGAAAAACTAACAGGTATATTTGACACATTATAGAAAACAACAAATTGTAAAAACAGTATGAAATAATTAAATATCAATTGAGTATTATGAAATTTTCCAAGGCTTATTTTTAAATAGTTAAAAGCAGCTTGTTTCTTTGCTAATGATTTATATGTATGGGATGCAAGATAGTTATCACTATAGATACCTTGATCTTACTTGGAAGAATTAATACAGTATATTCCTTCTTACAGTTCCTTACTGCTAACATTACATACAAACGTTTTTTAGCCTTATTTAATTTAACTAGCTAGCCATGATTCATGGCCAATCTCTAAATCAGAATTAGAAATTTCCACATAATAGAACGTTATAGTTTACCCAATGCTATGGTTTACCTGAACAGGAAGATAAAAGTTAGTGAGAATATGAAAAGGAAGAAAGCGAAGATTTAAAAAACTGCTCTAGATCAGCAAGGCAATGAATCACTGCAATGCTTCCTCTACAACAGGGGTGTCAAACTTGTGGCATCATGTGACATATTGTGATATTTTTCCCTTCGCAGAGAGTGGGCGTGGCCTGCACATGATGCATCCAGCCCACAGGCCACAAGTTTGACCCCCCTGCTGTACAATAGTAATAAGCACCCATGCTGTACAATAATAATAAGCATCCATGAATAGGCAGATATGCTGTATACTCTAAAATATAATCTTGAGGAGGAGCTGACATCGCAACGACACAACGTGCAATCTTGGAGCTCCAAGATCGCAGTCGATACTTTTGCCGCTGGACGGTCCTTTTGGACCTAAACCATCCCAAAGAGAGGATGACAGGGAAGAGTATGTCCTGCTGATCTCAGGGACACCGCAAAGTCCCTGATTGATCCAGGAGAATCTCTTTTTGCCGGCGACAGAAGCGCAGCCATTGAAGCTGCTGAAGTTGGGACAGAGTTTAGAGTTTAGAGTTTAAACAGCTCCAGAACAGGAGGAAAACGGAAAGAGAAAGC